GGATTTCTTGAGCGATGTTGCCTGAGACCTTCGTCGCGAGTGAGGGAGGAGGAGGTCGAGACGAAGGACTCGAGGAGGCAGCTTTGGGCGCCTATTGGGAGAGAGCCTTCCCAATCCGGCAGTGACACCTCTCCGCGGGACCTGGGCGTCCGAGGCCCGTTCCTTCGTTCTGCTCCTCCACCACGCACTGGGCCTGGCGCAACACAAACTCGCTTCCATGCTCACAAGGCGGCGTAACTCCCTATTCCATGTCTAGTCTACATTCTGGGACTACCGCCACCGCTACGAGACCTTGGGCTAGCTACGCAAACCTCCGCGGCCGCACGAGGCTGATCCCAGCACGGACGGCTGAGTTTGAGCAAGGTTTGGCTCCAACGAGCGGTAAGTAAATATCTTGTTGCTGTGGGATACGTGTACATGAAGAATTGAGGATATCAGAGCCTCGCGAGGCTTGCGACGAAGACGGTCGAGCTGCTGGTGACGCCGTCTTCCGCGGCTGATTCTGCATTGCTAGACTCTCGAATGGGACGCACTTACGGTGAGTATCGATAGAATAGGAGTAGTCTGCTCATTCGCTTGCGAAGATGGCATTAGACTGCCGGATTCGGAGGTAGATAGCGCGCGGCCTTGGGATCGTCAATTCGGAGCGCTCACGAGCGCTCACCCGACCAGATATATAGGGTTTGCGGTGCGCCACAGGAAAGCTCGATTCGTGAATCCCCCGAGCCGCCTTCCTTTCGCTGGGCCTGCCCAGCGCCATCTTCCCGCCCCCGCCATCTCCCGTCCCGCCGTCCATTCTCGCTGTGCCCGCCATCGACTTCCCACCACCGTCTCTCGTCCCCGCCGTCTCTCATCCCGCCGTCCGCTATGCCCGCTATCGACCTCCCGCCACCGTCTGTCAACGTCCTTCCCCTCCGATTCGGCACGTGGCATACGCGTCAAAGCGCAACGCAGCGGAGGCAGCCTTAGGTGAGTGCACAGTGTGTGCAGGTGTCGCATCCGCGTACACGACACTTGCCTCCGGCGGCCGTCTGAGGCAGCCGCGGCGGCGCGGCGAGAGGCCCAAGAGACCTGCGCCTCAGCCTCTGGTGTACGCCTCTGCGGACGCTGTTAGCACCGCGGGCGAGCACACCGGCGTCGTTTTGAGGGGGCGGCGTCGATGTCGGGGCGGGGCTTCCGCCGGCCCTCCATGCTCACATATAGACCAGATCCCCGCGTCTTCGTGCCGACTAGACGGTGAGCACGAATACGACGTGAAGGAACGTTAGGCGGCAGCGAGTGCAAGGCGAATTTCGCCTTGGTTCGCTCCGAGCCACGACGGCGTCTCTGGAGCCCGAGCCCAGCGCATGGCTGGAGGACAAGCGGAATGCGCGCCCAGGCCAGATCTGCAGGCTGTGACGGCCGCTCGCAGCACTGCGACGCACTCCGCATCCAGAGGCCGCGGCGATGTGGCCCGTCGCGCTACAGAACCCGCGAGGTACGCCTGGCAATTTCGCACCCCAGCCGCCGCCATGCTAATTTGTCTCTAGGCGGCAAACCTCGGCGGCCTCGACTCAGGGTTCGCCCTTTACGCTCGCGATCGGCGCTGCGCTCGCCCGGTGCGCACGTTTTCGCCCTCACGAGACGGCGACACTCATGTTTTCTTTCAGCGCGTGAGTACGGCATCTAAGCGGCTACGATACGACTGGACGGCGCAGGTGGAGACCTCGCGAAGGCCGTTTTGTGTTCGTGCAGGAGTGGTCCGCATGGGCGCCTATTTAGACGAGGCCAACTTCACGTCCCCGCGCGCAGCGCGCAACATACACCGTGTTCGCGAGCTTGCGCGGATTTTGTATACGTACGCAAACCGTGTCTGTTTCGCGAAATATATCTGTGTTCTGCTCATGCTGCGCCCGGGCGCCTCCCGACGTCTCCCCGCCCTGAGGCCACAGCCACCGCCCACGACTTAATAACTCCCTCACACATGAGTCGGGGACGGCGTAAAACACTGCGTACGCATGTTAGAACATATCTACGCCATGTACATGTTCGCGGTGCGCCCTCTGTCTCCTCCCCGCTGCTCCCAGCCACTGCCCACCCTGCCATACCCAAACCACGTCCTACCACCCTACTGTACCCAAACCACGCCCTACTACCCCACCATACTTACGAATTATTTCTCCAGCCTCTCGCACCGGCCTCGCGCCCCGCCCCGCCCCGCCCGCGCCCTCGGACCGCGCTGCTCGGGCGTCTCTGACTCGCCACTGCAAGCGGGAGAGCGGCCGTGGACGAGCTTGCGGAATGGCACGGTATGTTCACACCATGACACACGGACACGTCTCGTCTAACATTCAACATTCGACAGAAGAGGAAGATAGGAAAACGCACGGTGAGCTGTTGTGAGCACGCCGCATGGCGCCCGTGGAATTGACAGGGTTGTTGACAGAGGAGGAGATGCGGGCGGTGGTGCAGCTCTCGTATGACCGGATGCGCGAATCACCGTGCCTGTGGTCAGGGTGTGGCGCCGTACTGAATCCGTGGAGCGCTGCTATGATCACCCTCCGGCATCCGCATGCTGTATCCTCCAGACATTGGGGGAGGAATGGTGACCGGAGGTGGCTCCTCGATATTTCTTACATTATTTAGCACAGCGGAGAGCGGGGGCGATGGGG